AGGCTCTATATATGCGTACATGTACATGTGTACTAGAAGCTGAGTACGTGCACGTGTTTATGTGTGTGTGAGAGAGAGAGGCCCACTCTAAACGATTCTACTGCTTGCCGTAATATGACCGACCAGCCAAAATAATGCCGGTGAGACCGTTGAGTTAGCGTTCAAACTAATTCTCGCATGCGCGTAAAGGAATCCATTGCCTGCTCACCGACTCATCCCTTGATATATGCTAGCCTCAGTGTGACTTCTGCAATACACGAGGCTAGGTAAAGGTGGCCTAACCGCGACACCGCTCTAGCCATCGACTTCCCTGTGGTCACGGAGATATTGCTGCTTGGTACGGAGGCTGCGTGTCGACTTGGCAACGCAGACGCGAGCGTGTGCGTGCGTGCGTGCGTGCGTGCTAGCGTACGCGAGAAAGAGAGAGAGCAGGCACAGGGCGGCAGGGTTGGGCGCTGCTGAGGAGGAGGAGGAGGAGGAGGAGGAGGAGAAGGAGGAGCAGGAGGAGGAGCAGGAGGAGGAGGAGGAGGAGGAGAAGGAGGAGGAAAAGGAACAGGAGGAGGAGGAGCAGGAGGAGCAGGAGGATGAGGAGAAGGAGGAGGAGGAGAGGGAACAGGAGGAGGAGGAGGAGGAGGAGGAGAAGGAGGCTGCGTGGTACGGGGACTGCTACTGCTAGTTGATTTCCTTGCGAATCTGTTATTACCAGTAACCTAGGGGATGTGCTGATTGTGCTGGGATGTGTGCGTGCGTGCCAGCCACTGCCTGCCAGCGAGCGGGTGCAGCTAGCTAGCCGTCGATCAATAACTACGGAGGGGAAGGGCACGCGCAGGGCTGCTGCTGCTGCTGCCGTCACCGTCTGCTAGACAGGCTAACAATCCCGCACACAGCCTGTCGTCTGTGTACGGCCGCCTGCTGACGATCCTAATGATGAGATTCAGTAGAATAAGGAAGCAAAGCCGACCGTAGATTACGCACATGCGCGCCTGTATCGTTTGTTGTAATAGCAAAACATGACGCGGTAGGGTAATTACTAATTAGCGCCATGAGGTGTTGAACAATAGGCGTCCATAGGCGGCAGGCCTGAATAAGCATCGAACAGAAATTAATTACAAAAACGCACACTGTTACTGCACTTATAAAACATACACTTTAATCATGTTAAATAACTACAGATTCATGCTCTATGCTCCGCTCGAAACGTTTGCCAGCTCTATGACGCGAATTTCTGCAAAGTTGTCTGAACACATTTCATACACAAAAATTACCAGCCGGTCGCTGCGGCTACGCCACCTGACGGAATGTCACGAGTACACAACAAGACTAATTTTACTTCTAATGCTTTCTAGACGTCCACGAGGCATCTAAATTGCCTGCATAATGCAAATTATTACAATCTAGTGCCGAATTTCAGCGAAAAAAAATGCCAAAAAAGGCATTTTCTAGAGACGAAATAGTGCAACGGTGAACAATTGCGAAGGCTTACTGTTGTACACCTCCTAAATGGCTAGTAGTAAAACCTGGTGCAGAAGCGCATCAGGGCGACGCGCACTTGATCAGTGTAAAATCTGGTCCAATTGCATTATCAGACGGACTGCAGCAGCCTAGCTAGTAGCTAGTAAAGCGGCAGTGTCAAGATGGTGACAAGCCGTGAACATTGTCGTGCCTACTAGCGCAGTAAGGGTAGGATGCGGGGTAGCTGACGGCCGGCCCTAGTACAGTAACATAAGATAACTTTTAAGTAAAGTAACATAAAGATGGTTTCACCGATAGCGACTTTCTTGTGATTTTTTTGGGATGCTTGTGCTTTTTATGGTGTATAAGGGCCGGTCAAGCAAAAATCAGCGCTTCCTTGTGTAAGTAATTTTTTCGTGCGTGCAATGTGGCACAAAGATGCCTGTGTCGGTAATGTTATCTCTGCGTATATGTGTACGCTACTGATTCCACCATTCCGGATTCCTTCTCTCTCATCCCTCGCATGTCAGCTCCGTTTCATTTCGCGATCATTCCTTAAGTTATACCGTTGCATCAGAGATACAGCTGCGCCTCCTTGCGATCACGAGGTGCAACTGCTGTCTCGGGTTGAGCTCAGTGTGTTAGCCAGAGACCCGTCTACTCGTCTTTTTGGACGGCCTATTCTTGGATGAGACGGATGAAATTTGATAGAGACGGCATGAGGGCGGCCCAATTTTATATATTATACACCTTGTATCACTGATAACAGTACTTATAGGAGTATGAAATCGTATCAGATTCCTGTCTTTTTGGCATTTCAGACTAAATTTCCTCCATTTTAAGGTAAGGCCCTCTCCCCTACGGCGCTTCGCGCCCGCAGCATCCTCGCTTCCCTCAGATGGTGAGACTTGTGTGTGTTTTTTTCGTGGCTAACACCGTGGCTGGGCTAGAGGTCAGCACTGCGCTGCCTGGATCTCTGCTACCCCGTAGTGATTCCGTGCGTATGCAGACAGACATGTAACGCATTTCGCCGAGAAGCGTTTACGGCTTCGCGGAAAGCTTGCTGAGAGGCTCGTCATGAATTCGTATTTACAGGGGTAGAAATGAACTTTCTCAAAAAGAGGGAGTCCGCGGCAAAATGAGGGAGTTCGCAGTCTGAAGTTCAAAATTAAAGATATTAGCAACGCATATTTTTAAGATTCATGCGGTTGCACGTCTGCCAAATTTTCTTTGGACATTTGCTGAAAAAATACGGTAATTCCATGAGACCGTGCATGCTCTGGAATAAACTAGTTAGTATGGCAGAATTTTCAGGGACACGGACTCTTGCATATGTCACATCAGGGAGACCGGCAGTAAATCAGGGAGTATTTGATTCCGGACTCCGGACCATTAATTTCGCACCCTGGTATTATGTTTGGAAACTGGAATGCCACCTCTTGGACGTCAGCCCCCTCTCGGTCAATTGCGTTCGCTCTCTCTCGCCCTTTCTCTCTCTTCTCTCTCACGCACGCACTCTCCCTCGCTATGACGCACGCATGCACGCACGCACGCGCACACACACAGACTGTCGCTCTGCCCACATTTCTCCCTCTCCCCCGCTTTCTCTCTCTCTCTCTCTCTCTCTCTCTCTCTCTCTCTCTCTCTCGTCTTTCACATACACACACACACGTATACACGAGGCCGCACGCTGCAGCACACGCACACACGCGCGCGATCGCTCACTGTTCTCCTCTCTATTTGCTCGTCGCTTCAACTTCGCCCGCTCTCTCTGCCTCTTTCTCTCTTTCTCGGCACGCTGTCGTTTCTTTCCCTTTCTCTCCACCTCCCTCTTTCCTCACGCGATTGCTATTCTCCTATCTTTCTATTTATGTTTCGCGTGCCCGTGCGTTTTCGCTTTTTGCTGCTGGCTTTCCGGCTGGCTCTACCCTCACTACTCACTGCTAGGCAAGCATTCACATAATAGTGGTGAAACAATCAATACCGATCTGCTTTGTACGGTATAGGCCATATGAACGCACCGTAAAATAAACAGAGACTTGTAAGTACTCTTGCTATGCGCACGCACGGACGGCACCCCGCAACACATGACGGCGTGGTGGCACGCACACGCCCGACACACGCCGTTGGTGCAACGCACACGGCCGCTAACACAAACGCCGTGGTGCACGCACAACGATGACCGCGCCACACGCCCGCCTGCGCTCGCGCCAGCGTGACCGGCAGCGGCACCGCAGCGCCGCCCACACGACCGGGGACAGAGCGCTCGCGCCAGCGGCACACGGCCACCGCACACCGACGGTTACGCCGTGGTGCACGCACACGTTGGGCCGCACACGTACAACGCCGTGGTGCACGCACACGTGCATTGATGCTTGTAATCGCAATGACGTTGGTATATTAGGCTGACATATTAGCTATAAGGTCAGAGAAATAGAACAGAAGAGAAGAATTAATTGAGCAAAAGTTACGCTCTGAGACTCAGCTAATTACAGCAATTGATGACGTGCGTTAAATTCTCATTTTCAGATTCTCTTCAGAATTCTCGTTTTCGCAACGAAAGCATAAATTGCTAAACAAATGTGAAATCGAACTTTTTTGAAATTCCTGAACTAGAATACCGTATTGCTAGTGCCTTGCGTCGCAGATTGTGTGTAGACCTGTGTGCTGCGGTACATACAGGTGCGATGCAGCGTAAATTGACTACGTCACGAATTTTCCATGGTTAAAATTTGTAAAAAAAAAAATTGCCCATTTTTTACATTAAAAGTAAAACTAAACGTTACTAAATTATATCCTCAAACTCTGCACAACCGATGATAAAACATGTGTTTACGTGTGGTTAAATTTGGCGAAAAATCTAGACGACTTTGGTAATTTCTGTTGTCTAACACTATTCCCCAAGTACTGTTAGATACTGGCGTCTCTCTGTTTTTGCACGGCGGAAATTAGGACCATATAAAGAAGGTATATAAGCATGAAAAGTAAACAGAAAGCGCACTAATCGTTTTCATACATTTTATTTTGTACAAATAACAGCACAAATAACCTGAATGGTGCTAGATAATTCGTGACGTAAATCACTTAAGTGCGTACAGCTGTGTAGCTGCAGGAGGTCGAGTTTTAATTTTGTAGGACAAGACAGGTGTTGCTTTCGTGACGTGTATTTATCTGCGTGAGTGTAACATTAGTAGTAAATTGTTACGTGAGTGTGACATGTATCTGTGTAAGTGTGACATGTCGCTGTGTGATTGTAAGTATTGTATAGTTACGTGAGTGGGACATGTATCTGTGTAAGTGTGACATGTCGCTGTGTGATTGTAAGTATTGTATAGTTACGCGAGTGTGACATGTATCTGTGTAAGTGTGACATGTCACTGTGTGATTGTAAGTATTGTATAGTTACGCGAGTGTGACATGTATCTGTGTAAGTGTGACATCGTGCAGCTGTGTGATTGTAACTTTCGTATAGCTGATTGAGTGTGCCACGTAGCTGGGCGACGCCGACATTAGGCAGCTGCTTATAGCTGTCATATTATGTGCTGCAGGTCGGTGACGGATCCGAGGGATGGCAAGCGTGTCGCGCTGAAGAAGATGCCCAACGTTTTCCAGAACCTGGTGTCGAGTAAGCGTGTCTACCGGGAGCTGCGTATGCTATGTTTCTTCAAGCATGAAAACGTGAGTGTCACCTTCATCCTTGACACATTCGTTTGGCGTTACTACGCCCACCGTCGTCGTATGCGCCTATTCCCATGGTCTATAGAACCTTTATTCCTAGGCAGGTGATGTCACTTCCACCTCTGGGGGTGTGTCGAGTACTGAGAGAGTGAGTGAAGTGATGGTAACCATGCCCTATATCTCGTTGGGAACCCAGCTCTACCTCTCTCGCATGCCATTACCATCTCCCCTCCTGGAGTAGGCCAACTCTATCCCTGTGCATGCCTCATCCAGAGTTCGAAATTAGGCGCGCACGCTTAATTGTGCTAAATGCGACTTTAGTTTTCAAAATAGCGACTGGTCCTTTTCACTCTCAAACGGACGCTATAGAAGTATGCGTTCAGAAGTGTTTTCGTACACTGCTTTACTTTTATATATATATATATATATTATATACACTATATATTTGCTTTCATTTTCCACTTTTATTTTATTTCGTATATACTAATATTTAAGGGCACGTGCTGGTTTAGCATCTTACCTAAAAAGTTATTCGTGTCTCCTGCCATCTGTAGCACGATTCCAACGATTGTAAGAGAACTACCTCGATCAAGTAAGGTCGTCGAGGGCAATGATTTCAAACAGTCTTCCTGCATGACCATATTCGTATTTTTCCGACTAATGCAGTACTTACTGGTATTGCTTGCGTAACAGCAACTGCCTAAAGTAAGGCTAACGTGTCTTAGAATACCCATAAACCGTTACTTTCACAAAAATATACCATGTCACTTGTTTCTCGTGAGACCCTGCCCTTGGTACGTTGACATGTTACTTAATTGAATTACTTAATTGAATTACTTAATTGAATTAAGCACTAGAGATGTTGTGCCAATCTAGAACCGCTATTACGTTGCTGACCTTTGTCATTGGTCTTTGACATGACCTTTGTCTGGTGGTTGCCGATTTCAAGTGAATTGTCGCTGTACTAAAGAACGTGGCTGCATTACTTGCTATTTTATATACCACAAAGCGAAAACTAATTGTAATTTGTATGCTAAGGAAATCAGCAACATGTAGGTAAGAATATATATCGCCATGTTTTTCTCGATTGTGTGGTTATTTCTGAAATGATTCCTTTAGTTTCAAAACGCACGGACACTTGTAAAACGCGGCCCCGTGAGCCGTCTGCCAACTAGCTACATATAAGCAGAAGTAGATAATAGTCTTCTATATATTTTATTCTATTCTATTGATTTCCCTATCATCTACTTCTGATATTTAAGTGAGTAGTATTCATCACTGCGGTAATACTAATTAGGTATACCGCGCGCGGGGCGAGGTCAGAAATAAGTCAGGGAGACGGCGTGGCTGTGTTCTCAACAAAGCCGTTAATACGAGCGGCTGTGCGGCGGTATAGAGACAGCGGCGTCACGGCGGCAGCTGCTGCTGCTGCTGCTGCTGCTGCGCGGTAGCGGGACGCGGCCGGCGTGCCTGCTGGTCGGCTGAAGGGCGGCACGTACGCGCACGTGCCGCGAGAGCGAGAAAAATGACGCGAGGGGACCGTATATATTATCAGGGGTTAATAATGACAAAATTGTGTCATTATTTACCTCTGATATTATATACTTACTATCAAAAACCAAAGCGCCTATATATAGATAATATATCTATATATATATATATATAATATCAAGAGCTAATAATACCTTATTAGCTCTTGATTATAGCTCTTGATAATATATCAGGAATTTGTCTTTATTAACTCCTGAATATATCTATATACATCTATATATATCTATATAATATATTTAGTCTCTATCTCTCTGTGTGCGTGTGGGTGTGCGTGCGTGCGTGCGTGCGTGCGTGTGTGTGAATGCCTTCTAGCTTGCCCCTCATGTATCGCAACTTAAAAAATATTTGAAATTAAACGTACCCTCATGCCAAGACATAATATAGTCGAAAACGATTTTACGTCGCATTTTTCATGTAACTTGGTTACGCCGGCAGTTAGGAGTGATCTGTTCTCAGCTATCACTTGCGAAGAGTACTGCAGGGAGCACGTGACTGCTGCAGGGGTCGAGATGGAAAAAACAACACTTATGATACGCAGAAATGACACTGAACATATACTTTCCGTAGAAGCTTTATGATTTCTAAGTAAAATATTAGCATGGTGCGTAACAGATGTTTATGGTAGCGCAGCTTCGCCTGCTTCCTCACACTAGTGGGTCCGGTAACGAGGATATAGACTGTGTAGCTGCAAAATTCTGGGTGAATTGGTATCAACAAATGTTTTCATGTTCAAATTTATAACCAGAAAGGTACGTCGTACTTACTTCCACTTTTCCGGCAACGAACTCGCGTTCGGAGAAATGGATGAATATCGACCCCCTGATGTTGTCATCTAGCTAGCTGATCAGGCTTTCGTGGTTTACATGAAAACGTTGCGTGAATCGTCATCTATATCTGTCATCGACGGTGGCATCCAATAGTTACACTCTGACTGGCAGCGAGATCAAGTCCGCCCCCACCACCACCTTCACGCTACAGCACACATATATATATAACACCCATTTATAACGCATATATATATATAACACAGTTGTTATATATGTGTGTGCTGTAGCGTGAGGGTGGTGGGGGGGGGGCGGACTTGATCTCCCTGCCAATGGTATAACTCCACTCAATATGTCCTCTGGCCCATACTTCGTCTGAAAATACTTCCATTCCGTAAACCGTTACTACCGTTACTGTACTACCGTTACGGACATATCGCATGTACATACATATTTCCAGTATCCTGATATGTGCATGTAGTACGTGGCCTAGTAGGCTATAGTATCCCGGCGTGCGAGTGTGGGTCGAGTACTGATCAACTGGCGTGTACGTGTTGTTTCAGGTGCTGCAGGCGCGCGAGATTCTGCAGCCTCCGCCAGTGGAGTTTTTCCACGAAATGTATCTTTTTCCAGCGTTCTATATACGCACGTATTATGTATATATAGCCACTTGTTTGTGTATTTGCTTGTGTGCGTTTATGCATGCGTGCGTGTGTGTGCGCGAGTGCGTATGCGTGTATGTATACTTTAAATTTCAAAAGACACGAACCTGATACACTATACGATCACGAGCCTCATTACACTTACCTAGTATAAATGCGAGTGTATAATGGCACTCTGCTAGTATATGATATTATAGATTTTATAATGAGTTGAACACGAGAATCAAATGTGCTTGACATCTATTTTACTTTATCCTTTTCGTTATATTTTTTAGGCAAAATGAGAATGTAATTATTGCTGGAAGCGAAAAAAAATCGCCGTGAAATCATCGATAATGTGATAGAGATTGATATCTAAATGCAGCACCGATTTTGTTTGCTGCTACGATGTGTGGTTTGCAACGGCTTTTACTAGACATCGCGTACGATGCCCAAGGAATCTTTTTTTAAATTCGCATCCTCTACCGCTGCTCGGGTTGTACCGGGGTCAGCCCTATATAGACCGAAGATCCGATAGACCGAATATTGCAAAGGATTATGGTTAGAGTTAGGGTTAGGGTTAGGGTTAGGGTTAGGGCATATATATGGTTTATAGTGGCATCATATGATTTATAGTGGCATCATATGATTTATAGTGGCATCGGTGGATGTGCGGCATATTCACGTTCGAATACGGCATCAGTGGATGTCCGGATGCGTAGCCTGGAGGCTAGGCGACCGATTCCGGACGTGTAGCCACTGCGTATTCGAATAAACCTTCGGTCTATCGGGCCTTCGGTCTATAGGGCTGTAACCGTTGTACCAGTATTGCGTTGTTGTCAGCGGTTAGTAGAACGTGGGCCACTGCTCTGAGGTTACTCAGTCATGGGCCGGCGGCAGATACGATGGTGTGCCATGTCCTGTACTGATTGCCGCTCGTATGGGCTGCTGGTCAACCGTCGACATTTGCGGGGCAGTGTTCAGCAATTGTGGGCCACTGGTCAACGTGTAGTGAATGTGGATCAGTGGACAGTAGATGCTGATTATGGGCAAGTGGCAAACAGGTAGTGATTGCGTCTCAGTGGATAGTGGTCAGTTGGTGTTAGGGTACAGGTACTGTTCGTGACCGGCGATTGTAGGCCAGTCGTCCGCCGTCGGGTCGGATCGCCAGCGGTCAGTGTTTACGGAACGAGGTCTTCCGCCCCGCAAATAGGTTATTTATTAAACCACAATAATAGCGGCGATCGGCTGTGTGCGCGGGTGTGTGTGTGCGCGCGGGTGTGTGTGTGTGCGCGCGCGCGTGTGTGTATGTATGTATGTGTGCGTGTGGGTGTGAGTTTGTGTGCATTCGTGTGTGAGTGTGTGTGTGTGTGCGTGCGTACATGTGCGCGTGTGAGTGTGCTCGCGTGCGTGCGTGTGCGTGCGTGCGTGCGTGTGTGTGGACGAGTAGCGAGCGGGTTCTCCGTACGGCTGCTATATACAGCAAACAGCTTCGTTGACCCATTTACAATGCTAATGATCATCGCACAGCGAAAGTGGTTCAGGTCTGTGTAGATGGGTGTTGACGATTGTCATTCTATATTAGGTGGCGGCGGGAGGGGGAGGGGTGTTACGCACCGGTGCTGGCGCGGTAAACAATACGATCGGAAGCGCTATCACAGCCAAGGTGAAGACAGAAGCACGCTTGCGGCGCGCGCGCGTGCGTACAGACGCTCCACTTTCACCATTGAAGGTCTCTCTCTCTCTCTCTCTCTCTCTCTCTCTCTCTCTCTCTCTTTCTCTCTCTCTGCTCGTGCGTGCGTACACGCGTCCTCTATTCTCGCCAAACGTTGCGCGTGTCTACGAGCGGAGGCTGCGTGCGGTGAGGCTACGGGGATGGGGCCATATAGTGTAGAACACGGTTGGTCATGAAGGGCTGATAGCTGAACCACTCTGCGGCGACGGGGTGGGGGCATATCTGAGGGTGGGTCCACTGTGGGGAGAGCACTGATGAGAGCAGGTCTTGTGGAGTGCTTAGCCTGCGCCGTACGACTAGGCTTCACTTTACTACCAGCAAAGCGTCGCTCTGTATGAAATCTACGGCTCTTGTGATCCTACACCTGTGTCGTCAGTGCGATACGTGTGTATCAGCAGGAGATCAGCTCGATAGCCACTGGCTATGGGTATGAGTGTGCGTTGGGTATTAATTTGTATGCGAGGTGATTGTATGCGACGTCTATAGTTGGTGTGTGTGATCAAGCAGGTTGAGGGAAGGGAAGGTGACGTAGATTGAGCAGTATAATGTGGAACCGATTCTCTTGTGTTGGTACGTGGCACGCAGCGCTGGTTTAAGATACAGCATTGCAGACATCGTATATATATATATATATATATATATATATATATATATATATATATATATATCTATATCTATCTATATATATATATATATTATAAGCTTGCCATAACAAGCATCGTGTTGTATAAGATGTTCAAAATGAAGGCTTATATGAGCTACGATATCATTATTCAAATATGTATGTGGGATGTGACATGTATATATGCGTCATGGCAGATATCATGAGGAGTCGTTGTAAATTAGCAGATCCGTTATAGTTCTGTGAATCCAGAGGGTAATTCAGCAGAATCAATGAGCAGGCGATTTGTATCGTAGAGCTAGCTAGCTACTTCATGCGATCTCTATCGGCAGTTTGTGCGACAGCATCTCGCATTTCAAGGAAAATATTTTGACGATCTTGGCGTGGGATGTGCGGTTGGTCATGGCATTGGAAGAAGGGAGTGAGAGAGAAGGGGAGGGGGAAGAGAGAGAGCGAGCGAGCGAGAGAGAGAGAGAGAGAGAGAGAGAGCCGAGAGTGTGCGCTTGCGAGTGAGATAGAGAGAAAGAAAAGGGAGAGGGTGACGAACATCAATGCGTAAAAAGTAGGCCAAACTTCCCACGTGGATGAAACTGAAAGCAGACATTATTTGGATTCGCTTTTAAGAAATAGGTTACAACATAATTTCACACCCTCAGCGCGATTGTCAGCCCCATGCTAATGCTCGGTAACTAGACGGTCTACAGCTGCTCCAGCAGCTGACTTTTTCTAATACGCAAACGACGCCCGTTGCCGTCTTAGGCAGCGACGTCTGTTTTTTTGGCGGCGGCTGTATGAATGACACCGATCTGTGTAACTTTCCGTTTCGGTGACCATCGTGAGTCGGTGACGGCTGGTGGGTCACCTTGCAGCGTGCGTCAGCCACCGTGGAAAGCAGGCCGACCGTTCTCTACTGTACCCCAGTTCTGTCTGTGCACATGCCACACTAATACATTCAAATGCAGGCACACACGAACACAAGCAAACGCACGCGCACCTGCGCACAGACGTAACTTACACATACGCACGCGTGCGCGCGCTCACGCACACAGACATGAACACGCGCGTACACAAGAACATGGCGTGGTCACAAGCGATGGTCACTACGTCCCGTAAGAAGACAACGGCTACGACGTGAAAACACCGCCACGCTACTCGTGGCGAGGTAATTGCAATGTCGCACGCCAGCTCTTATTATAGCTGTCTGTCCTACATGGGAGTAATTAGTGATAACTACATCCAGGAGATTGACTTTGGTGTTGGCGGGCCTTAGTGGCTGGCTCGGTGGTGCTCAGACGGGGGTTAGCTCTAGAACTATAGCCCTTCGCCGCTCTGCCCTGTTGCAGAGCGAAGGTCTATAGTTCTGGAGCTCGGCGGTGGTCGGCAAAAGTACGACCAGTCGCCGGTGCTGCAATGTAATGGTGACGTACCTAGAAGCAGCGCTGCCATCCGTAACACGAGATCTTCGCTTTTCATATGCACACACGCAGCATGTGCGCATGCGCGCACGCAGACGGCACACTTTATGTAGATGAGATTCTATTGAGATGTAGATTAGATGCAGCTGAGGATCGAACGGAATGTCCATGCGTGTGTGAAAGAATGAGTTATAACTTATAGGGAGAACAAGATCTGGGTAGGGACAGACAGAAAGATTAGGGTAGTAACAAACATTCAAAGGTAGGTAGGGATAGAAAGTTGGTGAAAAACAAAAGGAACAGATAGAGACTACTGAAATATATAAACTGCACATATTTGGTGTTTTTTGCTGTATGTGTCTGTTGTTGTTGTTGTTGTTGTTGTTGTTGTTGTTGTTGTTGTTGTTGTTGTTGTTGTTGTTGTTGTTGTTGTTGTTACTGCTGCTGCTGTTGTTCCCTTAACTAGTCTTGTTTCCAGCTATGTGATATCAGAGTTGATGCAGAGCGATCTACACAAGATCATTGTCTCACCCCAACCTCTCACATCCGACCATGTAAAGGTGTTCCTCTACCAAATACTCAGGGGTGAGTGTGTGCACGCCTGTGTGCGTGCGTGCATATACGCGTTAGTGGTGCATGCCAGTTAATGCTTATATAATCTGTTCAATGTCATTAATAGGGATGTCACCTAGTTAACTATGGTTTTAGAACTTCGCATACACTAGTCTGTGTGCTGAATGCAGCGTAATCCAAGCGTTGAGTCTTGCTTCACGCCTTTGCTGCATCCCCTGGCAATGTGGGTTAGGGTTAGTGGCATGTAGCTTAGTAGTAAGCGCTTAGTCATTGGCTTCACATATCATATCACACTGACCCCACAACCGCATTCGATCAGGTTGCATCACGAGCTGCAGAACCTCAAACAACAAATAGAAATTCTCCGATTGCAATCGGGAGCATGTTAAAAACAGAGAATATAAAAACGTGTTTTTTTTGCATGCCATTCAATATGAGTTATACACGTAGACGTCTATACAGTCGTGTTCTTGTCATTATGCAGGGTTGAAGTATCTGCATTCAGCAAAAGTGCTTCACCGGGACATCAAACCAGGAAACTTGCTAGTCAATAGTAACTGTGTGCTCAAGGTATGTAATTAATTAAGGCAGCATGTGCTATGAACAAATAAGTAAACAAAATGCACATAAGCTTTGTTATGATGATAATGCCCTGACGAGGCTGCTTATATATTGCTTGTACTATTCTGGGCAGGTCGCGTAAAATTTTATCATTAACAACAGGTAATGCACAAACGAGGGCTCATCATTGAATGATTGAGTAAGCATGCAAACGTGCAGGCTCGACCTACTAGATACATCCTGCTATTTAGCACATCTCTCGTGGCCCATCTGTGTTATGGTAACAGCGGCATGCCAGAAGCTGTGGCAGTAGGTTGATGGGATATAACGCAGGCTATGACTGACCTCCTGCCATGGTTTCCTGCAGCTACTATTTCTGTGTGCCCTCTGATCCCACAGCTTAGGTTTTTCTTGTCCACCACTTCATCGTTTAACGGTCGGCATGGCTTCTCACATCTACAGCTTACCAGCGGCTTGCTGCTGCTGACACTAACAGATCAAATGTGTTTAGTGGCCGTGAAATTTGTCTCGTTCGTTTTGTTTCACTTTCCATCTTGCTGCCCAGTCGTTTCGCACTCGTTTTGCCTCGATCTCTTTTTCTCGCAACCTCTATCTCTCTCTCTCTCCTTCCTCATTTCTTTGCATCTCTTTCCTACTCACCTGTTGCTTGTTCTCTCTCTATCATCCTATCCATTCTCCCTCTCTTAATCCCTTTCCTCTTTCTATATCTCACTCTTCTCTCTCCCTTGATCTACCCACCCTCTATCAGTAGCAACTGACCATGTCTCCGTTTGCAGATATGTGATTACGGGCTAGCCAGGGTGGAGGAGTCGGACGCACAGCGGCACATGACGCAGGAGGTGGTGACTCAGTACTACCGGCCGCCCGAGATCCTCATGGGCGCGCGTCACTATGACTACAGTGTAGACCTCTGGTCCGTCGGCTGCATATTTGCAGAGCTCATCGGCCGCCGCATCCTGTTTCAAGCGCAGACGCCGCTACTGCAGGTTGGCCATTGTTGTTGTTGTTGTTGTCATTGCTGTCATTGTTGTTGCTGTCAATGCTGTTATTGTTGTCAATGCTGTTGTTGTTGTTGTTGTCATTGCTGTTGTTGTTGTTGCTGTCATTGCTGTTGTTGTTGTCAATGCTGTTGTTGTTGTTGTTGTCATTGCTGTTGTTGTTGTTGCTGTCATTGCTGTTGTTGTTGTCAATGCTGTTGTTGTTGTTGTTGTCATTGCTGTTGTTGTTGTTGCTGTCATTGCTGTTGTTGTTGTCAATGCTGTTGTTGTTGTTGTTGTCATTGCTGTTGTTGTTG